GTGTTAACTTTCTGGAAATTCTGACACGTTTTGGATGCGCCACTGGCAACCGGCATTCGGCAATACTGGGTCATGACTGGCTGTTGGGTCCAGACTTTTGACTAATCAGATCTCGGTTTGATGCAGGGCCGCCAAGAGTCCCGAAATTTCGGCCAATCTTGCGTGGGACGGACGTAGCAGCACCTGACTGCGAGCGGTAAAGCGGGATCCGTGTGGAATTTCGCCTAACAGATATTGTCGTGGCTGTCATATTTTACAGAGTACATTTGAATTCTAAGGAAGGATGACATTCTCTTAGGTATTTAACTCATTTCCTAACGGTTAAATAGATAGCTGACGAATTATTGGACAGATACAGAACGAAGCGACTTTTCTTAACGTAAACGTAGGTCGGATTTAAACGCAAAATATAAATTTATTTAGGGATTCGATGGAAAATTGATGAAGTGCCTAATATTTTATGTGGCGCACGGTGTTTAAACGAAAGTATAACAAGTCCATCTTGCTGGACTTGCTTTGTCGATTCGCCAGAAGCTTTCGCTCCGCTATCCGCTAGCCACACGCGGTCTTACACATGGTACACAAGGCATCAAAACATCTGAGGACGTATGCATCCTAGCATGCAAAATGGATTTGGAGTAGAACTGAGTTCTGAGAATCTCCACTGAAATTCAAAAAGTTACCCTACATCACTAAAAACGCGTAAAAATTTCAGCGAGAGAATGAGTCACCTCTTGACCAGGTGATGCCGGTGACCGGTGACTGACCGACGAGTGGTTCCGTGTCTTGTTTACATGAGACCCAATCACACTGCTTGTCAGTCACGCAGGGCCAAAAGTTTAGGTGTTCCGGCCTAGGGCCGAAAAGTCACGGGTTCCAAGCTCTCTGTGTTTTGTGAGATGCATGCAGCTGATGATTGCTAAGGAGAACGAAACAGCCGCGATCTTTCAGTATAGATTGGCTACGATGACAGGACGAAACCTCTATTAAAGATAACGGAATTTCCTCACCTTGGAGTTAGTTGAACGAGTTCAGCAACAAACAACAAGGCAATAGTAGTATTGACGGCAGTCCACCGAGCAGTGTTTATCAAATTTTCCTCGGGGGACGATATTTCTGCGTGTAACATCCTCCGAGCGAATGATGCCTGTCACGTTCGAATTGTACCCATTATCCCACGATTAATTTTCAGTATTGAGAGCTTCCGACAATGCTCCACAGTCTTTGGTTGAATTGGAACATCCATAAAGCATAAGGTAGGCGTCATTTATTTGCAACGGTGGACGTATACGTGACTCTTGTTCAACGCCTTCAAACCTGGTGAAATCTGATTGGATAGAATCCAGGATTATCCTCCTTAGAAAGAGTCACAGTTTGGGCTAGTGTGTGGTACACAATAATAAACATAACTATGGTGTATATTGATGAGTATGGTGAGCAGGCTGATGAAGATTTCTTTGCTCATAACTGTTCTCATTGTTTATCCGGGCTTGGAAAATTAGTGCTAGACGATGACCGTAAACTTTGCGATTGATTTTCAATGTCTCCAAAGTGTCCTTCGAAATATAACCCATTGATTAACTTGCACAGTGAACTTTCAAAGTGATCAGCCAACATCATTCTTTTCAAGACAGGATCTCACAGTTTTAGCATTTCAGCGAGTTTCACAAATCGACCGTGACCCTACACCATTTTTGTTCTTGGTAGGCGCTCTGGATGAAATCGCCAATGTGCACACAACCGTCAGTAGGTTCCAGCTATTCCTATTCCGGTTGATATCCCCCGTGTGTCTGTCTAGCTAGAAATGAGGCACAAATGGGGCCTCAAATGATATATTCTAACATCGGGTACTTGTTTTATTGCGGTATTTCTTCGACTACTTGTATAGAAATTGAGTTAGTGGATAAATTCCCACTGAGAGAAGAATTCAGGATGCCAACTCTGAAAGATGTTCCTGACTAACTAGACCGAATCACTTGTCGAAGATCTCTCTTGCGTAAAGGAAACTACTCACAAGGTTGTTGAAAACTCTTCGAAGACTCACAAATATACAAAACGTTTGGTTTGAGAGTTACACTTGAATATAATTTGTGCAATTTCCTATCGAATTCGTGGGGTCATCTCGGATAAGCCCAAACTTACGTTAAATGGGGTCCATCCAGAATTTTGTGGCAAGTCTGGTTTATTATCTGTTACGGACAAAAAATCATGCAGATTCTAAGAAGCTGCCAAGTACTCACCATGTCTGTTCATCTTCAATAAACCGTCGTTGACCTTTCCGGTACTCATGGATTCACAACATGGTACACTGGTTTATAACTGGGAAGTTCATGGCGACCACTAGCAATGAAGCCCTGTGAGTTAGGCCAATCTCATGATCTGCAGTACGCTACAACGCTGCAACGCTACGACTCGTTTGAGGTAGGGACATTCTGTTTGAAAATTACAAATCACAGAGTGACAAACCTTTATGTGTTTCGACTGTCAGTGTAAATTTCAGTGTTATTTTTCTAAGTATATAGATGCACGGCTAAGTGGTAGTCTTTTACTAGGCCTTGGTTGAACATATATGGGCTACTGTTTTGAAAGAAATTTCATAAAACCAAGTTTATAATCGTGACTGCAGCTTCTTAATGTGGCTGTAACAGAGACTTCTATGTAAAACCATCGTCTAATGATGCCACACCCTGCATGCATTTTCCACTGCCTGTCATATACTCGGTGTATTTGTGTAGACTCTGTACCAGAAGTGTCGATTCCTGGAGAGGAGCCGAATAGTTTAGACCTGAACCTTGGTACCGTCCTCCTAACGGGGTTCTATCGGCAACGAATAGCGGTGTTTGAAAAGCTTGTTTGCCACAGTTCAGCTTTTACCAAGGAGAATCACAATAATGCCGCAAAAGCCTGAGCGTATCACTTAACCACTATGAATGGTTGAAACTACCCCGATGAAGTTTGCTTCCACCAGGGGAACGCGCACCCACCAAAGGTCATCTTGGCTGTATTGTTCAAGGGAACTGCAATACATATAGGTCAATGTGGACGCATCCCCGATGCATTCTTTCGTGAACTCAACTCTTGGGCCATCTTGCGCGATCACTCGTCTACGATATCTTGCACAGCGATCGTATTATGGTGAATCTTAAATGTACTGGATCCGACCTTGAGACAGCTCTGTGTTTAATGCGTGAAATCATTGACTGAATGGTCCATGTTTCGAAACCAACCTCTGCATCTCGAATAGTCAAATCTAGGCTTGGGCAATCGAGCAGTATCTCAGCCTTCGTGTTTCTTTCAGGTGACATGTCAACTGTGCACCGATGGGGTGAAATCCCCAATTTCGGATCACCTCGACTGATTCGAAAACAAGCAAGGTTCACCGTGAACTGTTTGCTGAATACGCGTTCTATGTTCACGGATTTCACGTCTAGTGACGAGCACAACCTCTAAACCAAAGTCGTTAAAACCGTATTCATCCAGAAATTTCGACAATATGATACGGCAGAATGACTAAGGTTGTGAGAATTCGACACGAAACATACAAATGAGTGTCAAAGGTGAACTCAGAACAAAAACGTTGATCAACAAAACCGCGGTTAGTTGAACACATGCTTAACTCAAGTGAATAGCTGTGCAAAACTGTCAGAGCTGGAGGAAATTGTTGCCCATAGCTCAGAAGACGTGGCAGCAGTCGGCAGAAAGGAGAAGAACAGTTATTACGAAGTGTGGAGTTCATTAACATAATCAACGATATTCATCATCGTTACCTCTCAGTGGACAACGTAAAACAAACTACGAATGGGGACTTGATAGAATGAGGATTCATCCAAATGGGCGACAATATAATATGACAGAATAACTCAGTTTGCGAGAATTCCTCATGGAACACACAAATGTGTGTCAAATGTGAAATTAGAACAAACATGTTACTCAACGAGGCGAATTCACATCGACCCTATGAGACAGGATCGGCGAATCCCACTCGTTCATTGTCCACGTCAAATACCGTAGTGAAGTGTCGGAGAAACGATATTCCCAGGATCCCGTCTGCCACGGAGCCTGGCGCCATCGGACGGATTGTTAACCGACAATAGATTGGCGATACCTGACGAAATGAGACAAGGTATTGCCGCATAAATGAACTTGTGGCAGGATATTTTTAGCATGTCCAGTATACGCGAGCCAAAAGAGTGAACGAAAACTCAATTAGCTTCAAACAGGATCATTTTCCCACAGCATCGTGAAAGGTACAAAACCACAGAGTGATACACCTGCACACATTTTGACCCTCAAATTCATTCTAAATATATTTTCATTGTTATTCTTCTAAGAATATTGGTGCGGGCAAAAGAACTGGTCGTTCTGTAGACTGTGTATGAACACTCAGACAGTGTCCCCTGAATACACTTGTATAAGACGGAACAAAATCTATAAAGCAAGAATGCAGTGTCCCCGTTGGAATCTGTATCTAATTGGCTCGTGGTTTTTATATGACAGGTGATGGTGGTGATGAACAGTCACGTGTACACTCCGTCTTTATGGATTCAGCATCCCATTCCTAAGGATTGAATGAATCAGTCCACTTGGACTCTACTCGTTTAGAAGAATCACTATGCTCTGACAGACCAGGCCATCCACAGAGTTTTTGAAGACTCTTCGGCAGTCCATGATCGGTTTTGCCGTTTGGGGGCTCATCAGGTAGACGCACTCACCAAGTTCCCATCATCCTCAGATTCTAATTGATCAGCGAATTGCGTGTAACCTTTGATATACTTTCAGTTGCAATTTAGTTTCGTGTCAGTCTGGCACCCAAATAAGTTCAGCTGGATCTCTCGTTCATGACCATTAAACATCCTCCAGCATTGCATATATACTGGTGTAACGGTGATACTGCTGATAGGGAGGCATGCGAGTAGTATGTGTTGTTCCCGGAATTTCGCTTTGCGTCTCTTGAAAAGGGGAGATCTGTTGCGGAATTTGTGGAGTCGCTTTGTAACATTTGTTCGAATTTCAGCAATGAATGATTGGAGTCAATGAATATCCAGGAAAGTTCAGGAAGACGCGTTCAGGAGAAGATGGATGTTCAGCTTTTGTAAATAAGATGCAAATGAATGAGAGTTTTGCTTCTCTATCCAGTGGTATGTAACCGGTCAGTTGGCATTTTCTAATGACTCCACAGCGAAGGCCTTCTTCCTTTCACTGGTATATCCCGAATATCGCACCTAATGTATTATAGGGTCAGCTTTGTACGACGCGTGCATTTGGGGGACCCTAGACATGCAAAGGGAATTGTTGAAGACCATTTAATTTGCAAATGAGAGGGGTTCTCTAATCACTTTTTCCGTAAATTGGTGTAGATTAAGTGACCTTATCTGCATTGAATATGTTCGGAGGGCGTGCATCTAACAACCGGCTATAATAGAATACTACTTCACAATGATACTACCTTTTTCACTGTTCCAAAATTGCATAGGTTATGGCGAACAGATCAATAACCATGCTTTTCGGATTTCGCTAGCTCACTGTGGAGGGTGCTTGTTCTTGATTGCTCTCTCAAAGTGTCTGATTTTGAGGGTTTTGACAAGCGGATCTTCATCCTCAGAAGGCTATCTGCGTAGCCTAGAGTTTTGGATCCATTTGTGACAGGATGGAAGTTTCCTTGCCTGCGACCACACCCATCATCTAAGATCTACACTAGGCACACTGCTGATGAAAATTTTTGTCAGTCCACTGCCAGTTCCTCGTATCTCGGGGCTCACCAGTTTGCCTCACTCCTATTACAGACTTGATGTATACGGGCTCTTCAACGGTATGTCAACTGAACCTACCGCTTATAATAATATTCAAATCGATACCATTTTTATCATTCTCAAGTTGTTTGGTATCATCTCGAAGTCAGGATTACAGAATGCAACACGTGTGGGCGAGTTGGCGCTAGCCTGTTTAATCGGTACTGTTAAGTAACGCCTTCAACAGCATAATTGTTCAGATAAATTGTGGAAAGTTCACCAGAATAAATTGACATGTATTCGTTCGCCATCTCGGCGTTGCGACCCAAAGTAGGAGCCGAGGCGTGCATCAATATTGAAGAAAAGTAGCCCGATGAGATCGACTTCATACTGACACAAAATGACAAATATTGAAAGTTCTGATGTCTGCTTCACTGCCCTGATTTTGGTCAACTAAGAAATATTACTCCTAGTAAGAAGCCATTAAGATAAGTGTGGTATTTCTGAAAAAAACTTACCACATCAACATATTGCGACGGTTTCCAAACTAGTTGGAAGCCATTTAAATGAAATACCAGTGCCGGCATTGTTCCAATCGAATTGCAGTTGACGGTATAATCCTCCGGGTATGGTCTGGCCCCAATCGCTGTGAACAGCTGGCTCACCACAGAAGCTGGGAGCTCTGTTATGAAGCTTCCGGTATCCAGGATGATTAGGAAATTGGTGGCCAAAGTTACACCATTGATGGAAGTTATTCTGAAAATCAAACTATTTTTTAGTGGTTGAATAATGCCTGATGGATTGTTAACCCCTCTGACAATTCTAGTCATTGTGCTGAAGTTCGCTAACCGCCAGTAAACCACGCGTGGAAACCACATGCGATCCCTAGTTGTTTTGTTGTATAATTCCGCTACTGTTATCATTTATTTTTGAAAAGCGTGGTCAAAAACGAAAACGTGAATGCAAGCGACGGATATGAAGGGATGACAGGAGAATATGGGGGAAAAAGAGAAACGTCTCATTCGAATTCATGCCAGCGACAGTTCCAGTCAGATGAGATGATTACCAATGTATGCAGAAATTTTGGTATGGAAACACGCGTCTAAAGACTAACAACGGAAGAAAGGACAAACAATGTTGAATGCTTTTGAAGGCGCGGTAAGCGCTAGCACAATCAAGACTCGCACATCAAGCACAAAGTGTCCGTCATACTGGGTCTGGTGTGAGATTAAATGGCAAAAATGTACATTCAACGTCATGTGCACGCATAAATGTGTCATAAGTACGCAGAGAGCCCACAATAGCAAGCAAACACAAGCCACTGACTGCGACCTCAGGAAGTCCCAGTTCAATAACAGTCTTGGCGTATTGAGGAAAACAGATCCCTCGATAAGAGATGATCATTGGCTGGTGGACCAGAAAGTCGACATCACAACCAATTGCATGTAGGGCGGAGATTATGGCGAGGGAATATTCATCAGCACCATACTTCTGCTTCTTCTCCTTCCACACAGTCACTCCGTGCCCATTTGATACTATGCTGACGTCTATTACAGTTGCTCGGCGATCTCGAACAGCGATTAGGTCAGCTTTGATGAGGGCCGTCGAAGTGAGTGCTCTCAACTCCCCGAAGACGGTTTATCCAAGTCGAAGGAGACGTTTAGCGAGTCCCTCGCAACCCGATTATGACAAGCACATCTGGCATCATGCGTAATCCAGCAGGATTGCAAAATATGCACCAAACTCTCCGGTTGGCCACAGTTTCCAAGACATAAGATCGTCTGGCCACCACGACCATGCCGAGCACTTCTAAATTTCGTCCTGAGCAGGTTGCATCGGAGCTGGATACCGCGGATAAATATCGGTGGAAACACTCGTTCTGCAAATACAATCCATCGATTCGAGGGAGGCGAGGCGACCAACTCTCGCAAACCGCGACCGTCAACGCCGTTGTGCAGACTATCACCCCACTAGCAGCCACTAGCTCTTCCTTGGTGTTTACGCATGAACCATGGACTCGCAACGGAAGGCTTAGATCCCAAACACTTACATTTAAGCTTCTGGTTCTGGCATTACGCACACTGCAGAAATCCCTGAAGTATTCACAATAGACAGTTTCATGGCGACGTATGCCCATGTTCCATTGATGATGAAGCGGCTGTGAATGTCCTCTGTAAAGACTCACACAAAGCACTTTCACATACTCAGTTGGGGTTTCTCCCTTTCTTTGCGGTCAATCTATGCTGGAAAACCGGGAGGTATTGCACAGCCGCTTCATCCATGAGAGAGATTAACGGCTCTGCGGATCCCACTAAACCCAGAGCGTTTCTTACCCCTTCATCCATGAGGGAGAGTAACAGCTCTGCGGATCTCACTAAACCCAGAGTGTTTCTTACCCGCAACTTCCCGGCTAGTGGTTGAACACTTGACTGTCTGGCCACGAGTGGTTGGACGGCTGACTGTTTCGCTCCCCCTATGACAGCATGTATCTCCTCCTGTCCTTCAGTCACATCTCTAATGTTCCAAAATCTGCCAGCAACAATACTGCATCAGTAGGTCTGCGGGATCACTGATCAAACGTTCTGCAGTTTCTCGCGCAACACGACTGACAAACTGCGAGTACATTCTGTCGATGTGGTGTAGCTCGAGTTCCACAAAGCAGGACCCTCCGAGTAGGTCTTCGGCTAAACAAGTATTTCCAATGTTGACAACTTCAAGGACGCTTGTAAGCATTACGTTTCAGATTTTCAACCTGAATACCGGGCTGATACGTGACGCGAAAGTTGGGATTCTAGTCGATCAATACGTCACAATCTCATTCCAAGGTTGGTCAATTCGCAGAAAAGCACTGGGCCGGAGTTTCCACAACAGCGCTACGGTTAACTTTAAATGCACTTCAAAGTGAGATACAGGGGAAGGCCAAAACCACCTTGTCCGATGGTATCCTCTCTTCAAAGGGGTTACTGTAGTTCGGAGGGTCTGAGGGAATAAAAAAACAGCATTGATTGACTTCACTTACAGGACGAAACCACCACAAAAATCCTAAAACTCCTCACTCTACCAACAATATATAAGTGGCTCAGTGGAAGAATAAACTTCACTCGATGAGTGAAACTTTTATTTGACAAGTCGCTGCTCGACAAGCCAGTCGTGTGACCGTAAGGTAAAAGATCCTCTGCAAATGCTCCGTCCTTACTGGAGAATGAGTGGCACTGCATCGTTTCCAAGCGCGAGCTAATCACCGCTGGTGTCCGAACCACTAGTCGGCGCTAGATGGAGGGTCAGAAGCTCTCTGAGTTTGTGAAATGCGCACTTCTGGTGATTCCCAACAAGCATGAAACATCTGCAGAGCACTTCTCGGCTTTTCAGCACAGATCGACTTCACTTATAGGACGAAAGCACCACAAAAATAAAAAAAACAGTCATATGATTTCCTAGCCAGTTTGATCTTCGCAAGTCTGATATACACTCATTGGTGTGAAACCTTCGTGGGAAAGCTCAACATTCAGCATTGGACAATCTCAAATCCGTCATATCTCGAAAATTTGCACCACTTAGCACTTTGTGACGAACAAAATGTGTGCAGCCCATAGTTTTGTGAATCAGAACAGTAAAAGGACGTGCAATCACGCAAGCCACAATCTCTGTAGATTCAGCCGGATCCAACATGAGTTCATCCACATTGCTAATCTTGGTGATGGCGCACATTATCCACAAAGGCTCGGTAAATTTGGCAAACAGTTGGTGTATTTGTAATGTACTACTCATAAGGTTGCTGAAAATCCATCGACAGCCCACGACCGGTTTCGCCCTTCTTGGGGCTCATCAGGTAGGCGCA